GCCGAGTTCGGGATCCTGACAATTGGTACCAGAGCCAGGTCCCAACGTCACCATGTCGCAGTCACCATCCAAGAAGCTGCTGACTGGTGATGCCTCCGGCGAGAAGAAGGTCCAGCCGTCGAAATCGCCGCCACGTCGCCGTGGCTGCTCTCACAATCGCCGCTCGTGCAACCGGGACGCCGGGTCACGCGTCGTCGAGCGCATCATTGAGCGACCATCAGCGAACGTCGCGTGGCCGATGCTGACCCGAACAAACTATCCGGAATGGGCCCTGGTCATGGAGGTGAACTTCCAGACCCTCAGAGTCGGGGATGTCATCCACCATGGCATCGCCGAGGACCCCGACGAAGATGAGTACCACGACGACCGACAGGCGATGGCCGGGCTTCTGCGCTCGGTGCCCTCCGAGCTCTGGAGCACCCTCGCCGTCAAGCGCACGGTGAAAGAGGCGTGGGACGCGGTCAAGAACTTGCGGATCGGCGATGAACGCGCGCGCGACGCCAGCGCGCAGCAGCTCCGCACCGGAATTCGGTAACCTCTCCTTCAAGGAAGGGGAGAGCGTCAACGAGTTCGGCATCCGCATCACCGCGCTCGCCACCAACCTCCGCTCCCTCGGCGACAACATCACCGACACTAAGGTAGTGAAGAAGATGCTGCAAGTGGTCCCTGAAAGGCTGAACCAAGCCGTTGTCTCCCTTGAGATGTTCCTTGATCTGAACAAGTCACCATCGAGGAGGTGGTTGGACGGCTGCGTGTGTTCGAGGGGCGCACCAAGCCGAAGCAGGTCACGGACGCCATGGGACGCCTAATGCTCTGCGAGGAAGACTGGGAAGCCCGCCGCAAGGCACGCCATGAGCAGGAGAACTCCGGTGGTGGCTCCAGCTCCAGCAACCGCGGGAAGCGCCGTGGGCGCGGACGCGGACGTGGCGGTGTAGGATCCTCGTCGCGCGATGGCCGCGATGGCTAAAACGCGGGCGCCGAAACACCGGTGGCGGGAAGCCACCGCCCGGCACTCAACAACTGCGGCAAAAGTGGCCATTGGGCCAAGGATTGCCGTGGAAGAAGAAGGGCGCGGCCCATGTCGCGCAGGCCAAAGAAGAAGAAGGGGCGCTGATGTACATCGCCGCGGACACTGAGGCCCACGTCCACCTCGTCGAACGGAAGGTTCTCCTCCACCTCAGCGAGGAGAAGGAGGCCATGGGGCCTCGCCGCTGGGTGCTTGATACCGGCGCGACGAACCACATGACGAGGTCACGGTCTGTCTTCGCCGAGCTCAACACCGGCGTCGCCGGAACTATCAAGTTCAGTGACGGATCGGTGGTCGCCATCGAGGGAAAGGGCACCGTCCTCTTCGCCTGCAAGAACAGGGAACACGTCGCCTCGACGGTGTCTACTATATCTCGCGCCTCACCACCAACATCGTTAGCCTCAGGCAGATGGATGAGGACGGTTTCAAGGTTGACATCGAGTCTGGGATCTTGCGCCTCTATGACTTGTAGCGACAACTCCTCACCAAGGTACATCGCTCGTCGAGTCGGCTGTACTACCTCGACATGAACGTCGTCGCTCCGGTGTGCCTCACTGCTCGAGGCGGCGACGTTGCTTGGCCCTAGCATGAGAGGTATTGCCACCTCAATTTCCAGGCGTTGAGGAAGCTGGGGCACGATGAGCTCGTGCGTGGACTGCCGATGATCGACCATGTCGATCAAGTCTGCGAAGATTGTGTACTGGCGAAGCAAAAACGCACGTCGTTCCCGCAGGCCGCGAAGTACCGAGCTATGGAGAAGCTCGAACTTGTCCATGGTGATATCTATAGACCGATCTCGCCACCAACACCAGCCAGGAACGCTTACTTCCTATTGCTGGTTGACGATATGAGCCGCTACATGTGGCTAACGCTTCTGCGATCCAAGGCAGACGCGCCGGCGGCAATCATGGAGTTCTAGGCTCGCGTTGAGTGTGAGACGAGCAAGAAGCTAAAGGTCCTGCGGACTGACAATGGAGGGGAATTTACTTCTATCGAATTCGTTGAACATTGTGCAGGTAAAGGTGTTGAACGTCACTTCTCGGCGCCATACTCGCCACAGCAAAATGGCGTTGTAGAGCGATGGAACCAGATGATCGTGGGGACAGCAAGGAGCATCCTGCGCGCGCGGGGTGTGCCCGGACACTTCTGGGGGGAGGCAGTGCACACCACCGTGTACCTCCTCAACTGGGCACCGATGGCCGCGCTCGACGGGAAGACCCCCTACCAGGCGTGGTATGGGAAGAAACCCCCCGTGCACTTTCTAAAAGTGTTTGGATGCATCGCCTACATCAAGCGCCTTCGCCCGCACCTCACCAAGCTCAACGACCGCGGCCAGAAGGTCGTCTTCATTGGCTACTAGAGCGGGTCTAAAGCATACCGCTTCTACGACCCCACGATGGAACGAGTCCACGTCTTGCGCTACGCGATCTTCGATGAAAGCGTGCGCTGGGACTGGGCAGACACCTCCATCAACCTCGACCTAGAGCCCTTCACCATCGAGGAGGGGTACGAACTCCAGCGTCATACTACTGGTGTATTACCGTCGGATGCATCATTGTCTGCACCTGCGACACCGTCCACCGCCCAGAAGTCCCTTGCGCCTGCCACATCGCCCGTACCTGCTACATCCACCGATACACCATCGCCACATACTCCGATCGCTCCCACAGGGATGCAGGTCGAGTTCACGACGCCTCTCAGCGACGATCCCAACCTCGACGCTGATGATGATGAGGACGTGGAGCACAGGTACAGGAGGCTGGACAATATCCTCAAAACGGATGCCGTTCCAGGTCTAGCGCACCGCGACACCGTTGAAGCTGAACTCCATGCAGTCAGCGTGGAGGAGCCAAAATCGCTGAAGGAGGCCGGCGGCGATCCAAACTGGATTGCTGCGATGGAGGAGGAGATGAACTCCATCCGTGACAACAAAACTTGGTCGTTGGTGGAGCTTCCACAAGGACACCGCACCATCGGGCTCAAGTGGGTGTATAAAGTCAAGCGCGACGAGAACGGGAACATCGCTAAGTACAAGGCCCGCCTCGTCGCCAAGGGGTATGTACAGCGCCCCGGCATCGACTTTGAAGAAGTGTTCGCCCCTGTTGCCTGGCTGGAGTCAGTGCGGCTGCTGCTTGCCATCGCGGCGCACTAAGGCTGGGGTGTTCATCACATGGATGTCAAGTCGGCGTTCTTGAACGGGGAGCTCCAGGAGGAAGTGTACGTTCAGCAACCTCCTGGCTTCGTCGACGACAAGCACAAGTACAAGGTGCTCCGGCTTCACAAGGCATTGTACGGACTTCGCCAAGCTCTGCGCGCCTGGAACCAGAAGCTCGACATCGAGCTGCTATCGCTTGGGTTCACGCGCTGCGTCGACGAGCACGGGATGTACACCCATGCCGAAGGAGGAGGACGCCTGATCATGGGCATGTACGTCGACGACTTAATTATCACGCTCCGCCAAAGCGCCTACACCCAGGGAGCCCGAGGGATCACGCTCCGCCAAACCTGATCTAGGGCTCCTCTCCTACTACCTTGGCCTCGAGGTCACCCAGGGAGCCCGAGGGATCACGCTCCGCCAAAGCGCCTACACCACCAAGATTCTCAAGAAGGCGGGGCTGGCTGGATGTAATGCCAGCGCCACGCCCATGGAGATGAAGCTGAAGCTGTTGAAGGAGTGTTCGACGTCGAGCGTGGACGCCACCGAGTACCGCAGCCTCATTGGCAGCTTGAGGTACTTGTGCAACTCTAGGCCGGACCTGGCGTACTCGGTGGGCTACCTCAATAGGTTCATGAAGGCGCCGCGGCAAGAGCATCTCGCAGCTGTCAAGCGTGTCCTCCGCTATGTTGCGGGCATGGTGCACTGGGGTCTGCACTACCACTCGGGAGGAGGCAAGGACACCACGCCACACCTGATGGGCTACTCCGACAGCGACTTGGCAGGAGATGTCAATGACACGAAAAGCACCAGCGGACTCATCTTCTTCCTCGCCGACGGGCCGATTGCATGGCAGTCGGCGAAGCAAAAGGTGGTCGCACTATCCTCTTGCGAGGCGGAATACATTGCGGCTGCCGGAGCTGCGTGTGAAGGGGTTTGGCTAGCTCGGCTGCTGGTTGAACTCGTCGGAGGAGCTGTCATCGCGCCCAAGCTCAAGGTGGACAACAAGTCCGCCATCGCACTGATGAAGAATCCTGTACACCATGACCGGAGTAAGCACATAGACGTGAAGTTTCATTTCATCCGGGAATGCTGCGATAGGAAGCTGATCGACGTCGAGTTCGTCGGCACTGAGCTGCAGCTGAGTGACATTTTCACGAAGGCGCTCGGCCGCAGTCGGTTTCAGGAACTCCGTGGTGGGATCGGCATGAAAAACTTAGTTTAGTTGCTCCAGGACTTAGGAGGAGATTGTTGAGATAAGTCCTGAGCTTCCTAACTCTAGCAGGTAGAGGCGGCTAGCGCCATTAGCGGCCGTGCAAGGATTGCGGCATGGCCCAGGTGGTTGGGCTGGCAACTACCTATCACGAGCATGCCGGGATTAGCTCGGTCATTTGTTTCCATGTAACAATGCATGTACTTCTTTTAAACAGAGATAACAAGCAACAGAAAACGCTGCCGCTTCGCGGCACCAAATCGCTGTGTCCACTTCGTGTTCGTGTGTGTATTGTCTTTCTCCTCTGGCCGAGTTCGGGATCCTGACAATATCAAACCCTTCAAAACTCTCACTGTCGCTCCTATCCCACTTTGTCAGAACAGCAAACACCCTCAATGTTTCATCAGTAAGGCCCAAAACCTTAGCTTGCAGTTTCCCATGATTTTGAGGGCATGGGATATCAAGTTCTGTTGAATACCGAAGTGGCTCAAGTGCAAAGGATGCCGCCTGGTAAGGCAAAAGTGCCAGCTGACCACTTTCCTTGTGTCCTACCATCAGTTTCCTCTTCTTCCCTCTCTTGCTCTTGCGCGTAGTCGGTTCACTGTTTAAACCATGAATCTTGGCAAGGACTTCAAGTTACCCATCAGCTCGGCTCTGCTGAAACATGTTTTACATTCTGATGAATCCAAATCCAACTTGCGTCTTGCACTATTAGACCTGGCAGCAGCAACACGTTGATTACCATCCTCTGGCATTTTCTTCTTATTCTTCTTGACTGTACTGGGCGTGGTCACCTTGGGCTTCATCACTTTATCTTTGGCCACTTTGAGCCGCTGAACCCCCTTGGTCGACTTCTTCCCCCACCTCCGAGCTGTGGGCTCCACCTTCTCCGGAGTAGGAGTATGGGCAGGAGAAGCAGCACCTGCATCGTTGCCACTAGCAACACCTTCTTCCTGGTGCTGCTGCTGCTGCTGCTCTTGCTGTGCAAGATTGCCAGAGGACTCGCCCACCAGTGGAGGCAAGGTGCTGGACTCCTGCGTGCCCACCGGATCACAGTCCACTTGGCCCAAATCCTCCGGCATGGCGGACTGAGAATGTTCCTGGGCATGCGACGGCACCGAGGCCAGGCAGTCGCTGTCCACCTTTCTGGGGCCAGCAGCCGCGCTGGTGTACAGAGCAGTGCAGCAAGAGCCATCTGCGGCGGTTGTGCCGGACGCCCGCATTGGCTTGCGGACAATGTCGTGTGTCGCCGGCGATATCCCTACGCCCTGATCCAGAAAAAAAAAATCCATAAGCTTACGGGCAGTGTTATTATTATGCTTAAAAACTAAACGGTAAACAGTTAAACCATCGTGGCCGTTTAAGCGGTAAAACAACCTTTTAACAAAAAAAAGATATACGGTCAATTAATAAAAGGAGAAAACTAACGGTACCTACACGGACTAAACTGGTCGATTAATACTAATGGTCCCTAGGCGGACTAAATGGTCAATTAAACGGAAACGACGTACTAACAGTACCTAGACGGACTAAACGGTCGATTAAACGAAAACGACGTACTATCGGTCCTCAGACGGACTAAACAGTCGAGTAGCTATAGGAATCACACACTTCGAGAGAGAAAAAAAATGCGATTTTTCTCCGACTCGGCTAGACGGCTACTCTCCCCGACTCCGTTAGCACAGACACCGCATATTGACCGACAAATACTCAAATTTTATAAGACTTTTAAAGATACATTGCTTTTACTATTTATGTATATCAAAGTACATACATTGCTTTTACTACAAATGTATATCTAAGTACATAGCTTTTATCTACAAAAGCCAAAACGTGGAGTAATAGATTGCAGCACAAGAACACCAAAACGAGCAATCCAAGTGAGCCAACAAGTGCAAGAGCATAAAAAACAATGGATGCGAAAGAGAAAGCAGGCATTTTTTTAAGGGAAAATTGGTTGGCGGTGCAGAAAGTGACCAACACGTAAATATTTATAGTTTTGCCATACGTTGTGATCGGATGTGGCCTATCACTCAATGACACAGGGTTTATACTGGTTCAGGCAACGTGCCCTACGTCCAGTTTGAGTCGGTCGGTGACTTTATTCCTAAGTCCAGGTGCTCGAAGTTTGTTGTGGGGTTACAAACGCAAGGGAGTAAGATGGAAGGTGCAAGAGGTCCGGTTAGACTCCGGACTGAAGGACCGAGAGTGACGGGAGCTCCTACGTGCGCTAAGTATTCGAGCGTGCGCTCTGTGTAGCTTTAGAGTGTCTAAAGCTAGCAGAGAGTGAATCGATGTGAGTTAACTGATCTTTGTTGGGAGAAAGCGCATCCCCTTTTATAGATGAAGGGGACGGCCTTACAAGCGAGAGAGAGAGAGGGTACGTATGCTACTAAGTCTTGTTGCCCATGCCGTTGGGTACAAGATGATGGTAGGCGCCCATAACACTGTTTGTGTCAGACGCATGTGGGAGGTTTTACCGTATTCACCATGTATAGTAAATGACGGCGCACACAACACTGTCGATGTCAGATGCATGTGGGGGGTTTACCGTGTTTGCCTGGTATGGGAATTGATGGCGCTCATAACACTGTAGGGCAAAACGTCGGCGCCCACAACACTGCTTGGGTTCTGACATAGTTGGAAGGTTGTAGGGCTCCCTTCCGACATGTCATGTTGGTACTATCCTGCAGGTGTATAGGGTACGGTCCTTGGTTTTGCGGTTGACTTGAGCGCCCTGTCATACTTGCTCCGTCTATTTCCTGGGTCCTCACCGAGCGGGCGTCCCCAATCGGTTGGTCCCAGTCGGCTCCGACTGCGCCAGTCGGAGAAGAGATGTAAGCAGAGGTTCGGTACATCCCCGGTCGGAGATGCGGGTCAGAGTCGGAAGCGGCATTGGCCAGGCCTTCTGGTCGGAGAGGCGGGCCAGAGTCGAAGCGAACGACGTTTCTCCTTGGCCAGGCCTTCTGGTCAGAGAGGCGGGCCGGAGTCGGAAGCGGGCGCCGTTCCTCTTGGCCAGGCCTTCTGGTCAGAGGTTCGATCATCCTTCTAGCCTATCGTTAGGTATTTTGGGCTGGCCCAGGAGTTGCGCGTCGTTCGCAACGTCATCTGCTGGGCCAAGCTTTTGCTGGAAAGCAGGTCCATAAGGGACCCTGGGTTTATGAACCCGACAGGAGCCCCCGAGCCCCCGGGCGATTCCGGTATAATCGTCTAGGGGATTTTTGTCTTTGATAGCGGGTGCGCGCGAGCGCACCAGCGGGTGTAGCCCCCGAGCCCCCGGGCGATTCGGGTAGAATCGTCTAGGGTGTTTTTCGTGTTGCCAGCGGGAGAATTTTTTGTTTCGTCAGCGGGTGCGCGCGAGCGCACCCGCGGGTGTAGCCCCGCCCCGGCGATTCGTGCAGAATCGCCCGGGGGGTATTTGTCAGCGGGCGTGTGTGTGTGCACCTTAGTGGGCGTAGCCTCTTCTTTTCCAGTTTTTGACCCATCATTTCCGGGAGCATGGTCCCAGGTGTTTGGTCACGGCCGAGGGACTAGGCGAGATGGAGTTGTCAACCAGGGCGTCGGACGTGCCGAGGCTGGGCGTAACAAGGGATCGGGCGAGCCGAAGTCATGGATCTAGGCGCTGGGCGCAACGAGGGATCAGACGAGTCGGGGTCACGGATCCAAGCGTCGGACGTGCCGAGGCTGGGCGTAACGAGGGATCGGGCAAGCCGGAGTCGTGGATCCAGGCACTGGGCGCAACGAGGGATCGAGCGAGTCGAAGTCATGGATCCAGGCGTCTGAAAGCTCTAGTTTGGTTTTGGCGAATTGATGAAACCCTAAGTGCTAACCTAATTTATCAAAGTGATCATGAGATAGGTATCACATTCCAAGTGGTGAAGCAAATGAAGATCATGACATGATGATGGTGATGCCATAGTGATGATCAAGTGCTTGAACTTGAAAAGAAGAAAGAGAAAAACAAAAGGCTCAAGGTAAAGGTATAAATGGTAGGAGCCATTTTGTTTTGGTGATCGAGACACTTAGTGAGTGTGATCACATTTAGGTTCAATAGCCGTACTATTAAGAGGGGTGAAACTCGTATCGAAATGCGGTTATCAAAGTGCCACTAGATGCTCTAACTCATTGCATATGCATTTAGAATCTAATGGAGTGCTAACACCCTTGAAAATGTTTGTGAAAATATGCTAACACACATGTGCACAAGGTGATACACTTGGTGGTTGGCACATTTGAGCAAGGGTAAGAAACTTCACCGCGCTCTATATAGAAAAGATGAAGGTCACTATAAGTGACCTGACGCTGGTCTCGGTAGGACCAGCGCGTCCGGTCAGTGGTAGTGTGAAGACGCTGGCGTCGGACTTCGACCGGACGTTGACGGGTGTGTCCGGTCCTTCTAACAAGGCAATGCATAGAGGAGATGTCGAGTGACCAGACGTTGTGTGTCCGGTCGAGCATGACCGGACACGTCCGGTCGTGATTTTTCATTTCTAGATGCTTACTGGAAATGACCGGACGCTGAGGTCCAGCGTCCGGTCACTTCACAGCAACGTGTCCGGTCATCACTTGACCATTGGGATTGGGCGCTCCGTATTTGAAGAGAGGGGACACATGGCGTGCATCGCACGACCGGACACTAGGGTCCTACGTCCGGTCGTTCTGACCGGAGTCTCCGGTCACCCCGAGTTATGCCCAGTGAAGGGGTACAACGGATCTATTTAGTGGGGGCTTCTATTTAAGCCCCATGGCTGGCTCTAGCTCACTCTCTTGGCCATTTGCATTGACATAGCAACCTTGTGAGCTTTGCCAAAGCCCTTCCTCTCATCTCCATCATTGATTCAACATCTTTGTGAGATTGGGAGTGAATCCAAGTGCATTGCTTGAGTGTTTGCATCTAGAGGCACTTGGTGTTCGTGTTTTGCTGCAGGATTCGCTTGTTACTCTTGGTGGTTGTTGCCACCTAGATGGCTTGGAGCAGCGAGGATCGTCGAGCGGAGGTTGGTGATTGTCTCCGGCTCCGATCGTGGTGATCGTGAGGGGTTCTTGACCTTTCCCCGGTGGAGAGCCAAAAGGTACTCTAGTGAATTGCTCGTGGCTTGTGTGATCCTCATCTTGTGTTGGTTGTGCGGCACCCTATTGAGGGTTTGGCGTGTGATGCCAATTAGCGTGTGAACCTCCAAGTGAGTGAATCGCCGCAACGAGGACTAGCTTGCCGGCAAGCAAGTGAACCTCGGTAAAAAATTATTGTGTCATCATTTGATTCCAAGGTGATTGGTCTTCATTGATATTGATTCTTGTGATTGATTGGTTCTCTTCTTGACTCGGCGGTATAACCATCTTGCTCACTCTCTTTACATTACCGCAAACTAGTTGTCAAGCTCTTTAGTGTAGCTAGTAGTGAGAGCTTGTTAGTTTGGTTAGTGTGTCTCTTTAGTTAGCCTTTGAGAGCACACTAACTTAGTATAGCGACATAGCTATTGTGTGGATAGAAACTATATAAACTAGAATTGTGGTAGGTGGCTTGCATTTTTAGTAGTCTAGCGCAACATTTGCTTCGCCTCATAATTGTCTAACCGGTTTGCTAAGTGGTGTTGTAGAAATTTTTATTAGGCTATTCACCCCCCTCTAGCCATTAGGACCTTTCAAGTGGTATCAGAGCCGAGGTCACCGTGATTTGTGGCTTAACAACCTTTGGTGTAAAAATGGCTCAAATCAACAACACCAAGAAGCCACCCCAATTTGATGGCTCAAATTATCCCTTTTGGAAAGCTAAGATGACAACTTATATCAAGTCAATCAATAGGAAGGTTTGGAAGGTGGTAGAGACAAAATTTGAAATTGATGATTCGGAGAATCCCACCGCGGCCGAATAAGTGCTTCTCCAAAACAATGACATTGCTCTAAGTGCCATTCATGATGCAATTGATGAGAGAACATTTGAGCAAATCAAGAATATTGAGATGGCTCATGAGGATTGGAAGAAGTTGGAAGAATCATTTGAGGGCACTCAAGCTGTGAAGGGTGCAAAGGCATACATTCTCAAAGATAAGTTTGCAAGCTTCAAGATGAAGGAGGATGAGAGTGTGCTAGAGATGTTCCATAGGCTTCAAGTGCTTGTCAATGATCTCAAAGCACTTGGAGAAGAGGTGAAGGACAAGGACTTCTCCCACAAGTTCTTGAGATGTTTGCCTTCAAGATTTGGTACATTGGTCACTATTCTAGTGAGGAGTGGTTTGGACACCATGACACCAAACCAAGTGTTGGGAGATATAATGACCGATGATACATATAGAGATGATGATGAGAAGGAAGAAAAGAAGGAGATGAAGGATGAGAAGAAGAAGAAGAGTG